CATTAGAAAGATAATGAATCATTTCATACTACTCCCCACATCCTGTCCTCAATGTTTGTTAGTTATGCTATTTCTTGAAATTCTTCTAATGACTGTCTTTATAATTTTAACATACTGAACCTTGGTTTTTGATTCACCAGCATTAGAACTTTGGAAAAAACAGATATAGTCTCAAGGCTGCTGGATGACAATCCTTAGGGATGATTATTTTGCAAAAGCTCCCTAATGTATTCTGATGTGGCCCTCAGGTTAAGGACCTCTACCCTGAGAGCTTGCAGTACACCAGCCAGTTTATTTGCACTTGAATGAAAATGATAGGCAGACCATTCTTCTCATGTCACCCATTCATTAGCCACACATGGGACTTTGTGAAATGCTACAAAGATGTTGAAAAAAGCAGACAGGAGAATAGTGACCAAGCAGGTCATCACAAAACCCCATTTTTGATAAGAGACAGTCACTTTGTGAATGGCAGCATCTGGTGCAGGGCTGGAGAGACAGTGGAAGGAGTCCAGGTTTAGGAGACCTGAGTTCTCATATTGAATAATTTGAAAAGGAGCATCTTGTAGATTAATTTTATTTTTTATTCAGTAGTGATAGTGTACAGAGAAAAGCACTCAGTATTTGGGAGAAGGTTATAAAATAGGCAAAATGGCTCAAAGAGAGTAGTGAAGATCAAACTTCATAGTTTGAATCTTTAATAGAATGTAATTAGCAATGCTTCATCTTTATACAATCCTATATAATAAAAGGCTAATATGCAAATTGTCCCCTCAACCAGGAGTTCTACCAGGGGTTGCCCCCACCCCCCTGCACCAGCCTGATCGGGGCAGGCCAGCCAGACCCAAAAGTGCATGAATTCGTGCACTAGGACTCTAGTATTATATAATTAATAGCACAGATGAAGCAAATAAAACAGTACTAATTACAAATATTATCTCCCAAGGTTTTTTTCTTTTAATAAAAATGGCGAAAAAGGAATTAGAAAATGATTTAATTAAACCTTGTCTAATGAGCCTACTCAGGGGAATAAAGTGAGTTGAATTTTCCAGTTAAGAGGAGGACAAATAGTTAACACCTTTATTTCCCCTGCAGTCAAGAACACATTTCTGTATTGGAAGAACATATTCTCTTTCATTACAGAGAAATCAAGTTTAGTAGTAATAAGAGACTAATTTCTCTGATTTTTGTCTCTTTTACCTAATATCACAGATGTGAGCTTGTCTTATCAATCTTTGCCCACTCCTTCTCAGGGGAGCAGAGGAATTCATTCAGAGGATCCCATCAGTTTGATTAGATGTAGTTGAGGTTTGGCTCCAGTAACCTTGCAGTCAGATATCTGGTGATGGAGTCAAGTGGCATTTATCCTATATAATAAAAGCCTAATATGCAAATTGACCAAACGGTGGAACGATGGGAAGCTATGATATGCACTGACCACCAGGGGGCAGACACTAAACACAGGAGCTTCCCCCAGCCTACAGGCTCCAGGACAGCCAAGGTGGGTGCCAGCAGGGGCCCCCCGATTGCTCACATCACCCTGTAGAGTGAGGCAACCAGAAGCAGTGGGAGGCGATGTGGGCAGTGGGCAGTGCCAGGTGCCAATGGGGGTCCCCTGATCATCTCACTGGTCGCCCCACAGATCAGCCCTGATCACCAGCCAGGGCTAGGGACCCTACACATGCACAAATTTCGTGCACCGGGCCTCTAGTGTTTGAATGAACTCTGCCATTTCCCTTGGACTCCATTATGTTCAAGATGGGGCAGTCAGTACCAACTGCCCAGGAGCTTGTTACGGATTTTCAAATGACAGAATTTGACTGCGGGAGATCATTTCAATTTCATTCTCTCAATAGTTATTTTATGAACAAAATGATCCTTTTAAAGTCTCTAAAAATTATGGGAAATCTCTCAACTATGGATTAGCTTTTAACCAGTGGTGGGATAGCTGTGTTCTTAGATAGTATAATATCTTCAAATGCATATTTGGTACAAGAACCTAATTCTGATTTCATATGTGGTAACAGCTTGCAAAAACCATGTGCAAATCAGTGGACCTCTGTGAAAGTCTGGAAACTGTGGCTATGGGCAAAATTAATCTCAAAAGATGTTTCCAACGTGAGCTTCTCTTTCCAACCAATGAAAATTATCCACTGGCATTTGCTGCCTGCTGATCATATTTCCCCTGGCTAATCAGCATTCTTGCTTGAGGAAAGTCTCTGGCTTTTATTCATTTACTCAACAAGTATATATTAAGCATCTACACTGTGCCAGGCACTATTCTAGGTGCTAGATTCTGGGAAGCATTAGTGAACAAAACAGAAAAGGTCCCTGCCCTCATGGAATTGACATTCCAATGGAAGGAGAGAAGACAAGGGAACAAATAGTGAAGGAGATAACCTCAAATGGTGTAAATACTCTGCAGAAACCCTAACAGGAACAAACCTGATAGGCTGAGTGTTGGTTGTAGCTTGATCAAGTTTACCAAAAGCGAGTCTTAAGACAAGGATTTAAATACACGTACTTTCTGTGGATGCCAATACTAGAAACAAAAGCAGGGAATTAAGGAAGTGAAGTAGGGAAGAGGTGAGCATTAAAGGCTCATAATCAAGGCACTTAACCCTGCGGAGTACAGGAACTCAATTCATTAGGGGATCTGCAGGCATGGTGTAGAGCACACTGCAGCGTTATTCCAACCCAGGGGGAGAGTACTGATCTGCTTCTGGAGTACTGATCTGCTAACTCTCCATCTATCATCAGTTGAGAGCTGCTCTGGGCATATTAACTCCCTGACACATCTGGCTTACCTTACATACAGGTGAAGTAGTAGATAGCTGCAGTTAGTCTAAAAAGTAGAATATCAGTGTGTGAAGGAGAGTGGAAATGAGCAGGACACCAACAGCATTGACCACAGGTGAGAACTGGATCTTTGCATGCACGGTCAGAAAAGACCTCTCTGAAGAGATGGCATTTTATCTGGCATCCAAAAGGTGGAAAGGAACCATCCAAGGAAGACACACTTCCAGAATAACTAGGACAAGGGATCTGAGTGGGACTCAGCTTGGTTTGTTTCTAAAATACAAATAATAAAGAATCAGGTAACTTTAGAGGCAGAGTGTCAGGGGAGTGTCTTTGAGTCATGAAGCTGTTTATGGCTAGATCTTTTAAATAAAGAAACTAGATCAGCCTGGCCAGTGTAGCTCAGTGTTTGAACGGTGACTCATGAACCAGGAGGTCACAGTTCGATTCCTGGTTTGGGTACATGCTTGGGTTGTGGGCCCAATCCACACTAGGGGGGCTTGTAGGAGGCAGCTGATCGATGATTCCCTCTCATCACTGATGCTTGTATCCGTTTTTCCCTTTCCCTTCCTCTCTCTGAAATGAAGAAAAACATATTTAGGGGGAAAAATGAAAATAGTTCAAGTCAGGGAGACATTAAGAGACTTGGACAGGCTTAGGGCTCCTGGCTACCAATCCAGGGCTCTGCCCACCCTCAATCCATCAGTTGCTTCCCCTGATCATTTTCCAGTTTCACCCTTAGGATTTGACAGTTTTCCCAAGCCTTGGAGCCCACAGGGCATTGACCTTATGATCCCAGCTTAAATTCCTGCAGTGGGCCACCAACAAGACCTAAAAAGAAACCCAAATCACAAAGCTCTATGTGAGCAGCCTTGGGCTGCCACTTTGACTGCATTTCTAGCCCTCTCTTCCTCTGTTTCTGGAACATGCCAAGCATCCTCCCACCTCTGAGCCTTTGCTCAGAATGTCCTTCCCCAGATGTCCCCGTAGCTCACTACAAGGTTTCTATTCACTTGTGTCCCCATGCCAACACCACCTCTTCAGGGAGACTCCTCCTGATCTTACCAGCCAAAGCATGGCATCACCCTCCTCTCCCCATCCTCTTGTCCAACTTTATCTTTTGCCATAGGACTCATTGCTACTACCTAGTATAGTCTCCTAGACAATACTGTTTATGCTATGCCACATATTTACTTGTCTTGCTCACTAGAATGTAAGCTTCATAAAAGAAGGAACTTTTTTTATTCACTATTAGAATAGTGCTTCATAGGTTCTCAAAAATGTTTGTTGCACAAGGAGTGTGTGACTGAGCAAAGAGCTAACTCAGTGAATTGCCTTTATGCAAGTCGATTCTCCAACTGCATCTCAGTTTCTATATTTGGCAAATAGACATATAATGTCTACTTTATAAACTCATAAATGGAAATGAGGCTGAAGATATGAAAGTACTGTACATTATAGAATATATTACACAAATGCAAGATTTCCTGTTTAAGTTGAAGACTTCCTGAGTTAAAATGAACTTCACCAAATCAGAAGGAAAGTTTCATTCCCACTAAAGAATCCTTTGTAGATGTTACAGTTGTTCAGGCCTCACTGAGTAAATCTCTAGTCTGTGGTACAGGAAAGAGCACAGGGCAAGGGATGATCAGAATCCAGCCTCTTCCACAGACTTTTGTGACTCTGGGGAGCCCATGGGAGCTTGGACTCAGATTCCCCTCCTCTCAAAGGGGTGGAGGGTGGGAGTGGAAGAGGAGACAACCTCCTATGTTTCTATTCTCTTCTGCATCTATGGCATCATAATAATCCAAGCCACCATTTATTGGTCATTCCGTCTGCACTATGCACTTGACAAGCATCATTGCATTGCTTTTTCTCCCCAATAACCTACCCTCCATTACTGAGACAAGAAACCATCAGGTAACTTAGTACAATGTAGCATCACTTATAGCTGTGAGTAGCAGAGGCATTACTTTAACCAAGTACCGCTGGCTCCTAAGCAAGCACTCTTAACCACTGTGCCAACTTTGTGCACAAACTAAGGGATAACCAAGTTCAGAAGGAAGGGAGGCACAACTGCCTCTCTATTAAGTCAGTTGCACCTTTTGGAACAGTTTGGAAAATCCTGTGTTTCTGTAACATGGTTAAATGGATTTATCCAGGCAACGTATTCTGACTTCTTCCTCCTCCTCCCTGCACAGGGTTTCATGGACATTGACTTAAACAAATTCAAGGAGAGTGGAGCAAATGTGACAGGTTTCCAGTTGGTGAACTACACAGACACCATCCCAGCCAAGATCATGCAGCAGTGGAAGAACAGCGACTCTCGAGACCACACCCGGGTGGACTGGAAGAGACCTAAGGTGAAGGGATGGGCAGCAGAGAATAAAGGACCAAACTGGCCCCATGGCCGGCCTCAGATTTCTGCACAGTGTTAGCCATTTGAGAAGGACAGGCTTTCTAAGAGGAACAAGCTAAGGAAAATATACCCATAATGACTAAGGGTCCAAAGATCAGACAATCCAGAATGACAATGGTTTTAACAAAGAGACATTTTGTTTTGTTCTCATATAAACAAAATTCAGAAGTCAGCAATCCAGGGCTTATCTAACAGATCTAAATCATTAAACACTCAGGCATCTTCTATTTTCTTATTCTGCTGGCCTCAGCTTTTGGAGCCACCTTATAGCCCAAATGGCTGCTGAAGCTCCAACCATTACCTCAGTAGTCTACCCAGCAGGAAGGAGAACAGGAAAATAAAAAGCACAACTGTTTCCTTTAAGAGCCCGCTTCAGAAGTTGCACATAGATCTTCCACCCACATGCTACTGGCTATGTCTTAGAAACCTAGCCCCAGCTAGCCACAGTGAAGGCTGAAAAAAGGGTGTCTCTGTTCTGGGCAGGGGCACCATTTTGCACAGCTCTAGAGTATGCTGTTCACATTTTGTTTGTTTGTTGATTGAGCTTCCTTGAGTTGTGCAGTGAGCCAGCCCTTATTCTGGTCAGCCATGTACACAGCTAAAAATCAGGAAAATCTAAGTAATATTAAGCACTTCACTGCCTCAGAGAGACAACTCCCAATTATCATGCGGACTGTCTGCTGCCCACTTCCCAGCAATGCAGCTCTAAATCCTGCAGCCCAAATCTATTTTGTTTGCTATTTGATAATGGTTTAGAATATAGGCAGAAGGTAATTTTTCTTTCCCATGTCATGGCAGTGACTCTGTGGAACACTGCCCTGAGCAGGATCCTGAGGCCAGATTTGTTTATCTGGGCAAATCAGGGAATCCTCTGTGACTTTCTCATGTCATTAGGCTAATATCTTTTTGTGAGTGTCAGAACATTTAACTGGGATGTGTCTCCTCCTACTTTTGCTCAAACCCACTTGGCAATTCAAAAGAAGATGTATTTCAATATGAACCTAAGCAAACAAAATCACAAATGTGTTTTAAAGAAATAAGCAAACCACATAGCAGTTAATAAATATGCAAATACCCCAGTTTTGAAAAGATTGAAGCAGATTATAAAAATAGCAAAATGTAATATGTACATATTATATCAAATGTGAGAGAATGAAAGTTAAAAACTGGAAAAATACCTATATACTAGTATTCATCCTACAACCCTCTGTTGTGAACTTTGAATGTGCCAGAGAACATGCTAGGCATTGGGGACTAATTAACGAAGATGACAGACATGAGTCCCAAAGCCAGGAAATATTATCCTGGATTGTTATCCTGGTTCTGTTTCATCAACATCTTATCCTCCTTTAGGCAAAAGGGGGGAGCGGGGGGCGGGGGCTGGAATGAGAGTTATCATGAATAAGCACAAAGGAAAAGCTTGTAAACCTGCCACTGGGTGAGCCACATGTAGAAATAGCTAAGTGCTTACCCTTCCTGGATTATTTTTTGTTTTACTGTCACAAGGGATGGTGGAATAAACAGCTCCTCTGAGTTCCCAATTGGTGACTCTAACATGGAGAAAACAACTGTATTTTCATGGACTCTATCAGATGATACAGATGTGTTGAATTTAATCTATGCATTCTTTTTTCCCCCAATGAGCTAACATTATAAAATTGCAAGACTGCACACAAAAATCTAGACTTCCAGCTTCTCTTCCAAAGTCACAGATAGCAAGACACAGTTCAGGAGGGCAATGCTGGCTAGCAATTCATAGCAGCCCCCATGTAAGGGGCAGGCACCGCCTGGTTCACCACTGCCTCCCTCCCATGCCCTGTACCTGGCCCACTCCGGGCATGCTCATCACCAGGAAGAATCTACCCAGACACAGCTCCCTCCTGCCTCCCTGTCAGTGCTCTCTGTCACCTAACTGTCTCCATTCCTCCCACCAGTACACCTCTGCGCTCACCTACGATGGGGTGAAGGTGATGGCTGAGGCTTTCCAGAGCTTGAGGAGGCAAAGAATTGATATATCCCGCCGGGGAAATGCTGGGGACTGCCTGGCTAACCCAGCTGTGCCCTGGGGCCAGGGGATCGACATCCAGAGAGCCCTGCAGCAGGTGAGACTGCCAGTGTCTGCCCATCTTCTGGGAGCCTCATAGGACAAAGCAACATCAGTCTCAGCTGAAATGTTGCTATTTAAAAGGTGGAACGTGCCTGTTTGGAGCACCACTGCACTGTGGCATTACATGGAAGCTCATGTAGAAATTAAAAACAATAGTAATTCCTGGTAGTGTAAAAGCTGTATTTTCTGCTTAGGGACTATGCTAAAAAGTGATGGCAACGATTCTGTATTTGGAAAGGGGACTTGAAATACACAGAGATGAGACTGAACCACTTCAGTGGTCTCCTAGAGACTCTCGCGTCGTGCCCCGGCTTTTAGGATTTCTTCATGACCTTTGCTCTCTGTGCACATTTCATGAAGGAGCTCGGACAGTGAGTCTCAGTTACTTGCGATTCATTTCCCTTGCTTCTCAGCACTGCAATCATTAATTTTGTTTGCACTGAAGAACAGTTAAAGAGCAGGGACAGAAAATGGTCACGCCCACTCCAATCAATTGCAAAGGATTTTGAGGCTGAATCCAGATTCAATAGGGACGAGTATAAATCTCCAATTAGGAACATGTCTTCTGAAGAAGCAAGACAAAAAAATTATACACGTGGGCTCTGGTATTTAACATTCCCGACTTAGAAGAACCTAGGAACTTGCCCTCAGCTACACAACCCTTTTAACTCCCTTGCCTCTCCCATCTTAATGACGTCCCTGGGCGGATATTCTGATACCGCCATGAGGCAGTGATGCAGCCTAGGAAGCAACCTGGGTGGCAAGAAGGGCTCTTAACCAGGAAGCAGGAGAGCTGGTTTCAAGTTCAGCTGGGTCCCTGGCTCTCTGTGTGACTTTGATATACCCTCTGTGTGACCTTGTGATCATTCAAATCCCCTACAGACTTCTCTTTATTTAGTCATGACAATGAGGAGGTGGGAGAGAGGGTTTCT